GTAACCCACCAGTAATTTTGTCTGACACAGATATGATAGTAACCTACGAGTAATTTTGTCTGATACAGATATGACAGTAACCCACCAGTAATTTTGTCTGACACAGATATGATAGTAACCTACGAGTAATTTTGTCTGATACAGATGTGACGGTAACCCACCAGTAATTTTGTCTGACACAGATATGATAGTAACCTACGAGTAATTTTGTCTGATACAGATATGACAGTAACCCACCAGTAATTTTGTCTGACACAGATATGATAGTAACCTACGAGTAATTTTGTCTGATACAGATGTGACAGTAACCCACCAGTTACTTTGTCTGACACAGATATGACAGTAACCCACCAGTAACTATGTCTGACACAGATATGACAGTAACCCACCAGTAACTTTGTCTGATACAGATGTGACAGTAACCCACCAGTAACTATGTCTGACACAGATATGACGGTAACCCAACAGTAACTTTATCTGACGAGATATTACGGTAACCCACCAGTTACTATGTCTGACACAGATATGACGGTAACCCAACAGTAACTTTGTTTGACGAGATATTACGGTAACCCACCAGTTACTTTGTCTGACCCAGATATGACGGTAACCCACCAGTAACTATGTCTGACACAGATATGACGGTAACTCACTAGTTACTTTGTCTGACACAGATATGACGGTAACCCACCAGTAATTTTGTCTGACACAGATATTACGGTAACCCACCAGTTACTTTGTCTGACCCAGATATTACGGTTACACACCAGTTACTTTGTCTGATACAGATATTACGGTTACACACCAGTAACTTTGTCTGTCACAGATATGACGGTAACCCACCAGTTACTTTGTCTGACGAGATATTACTGTTACACACCAGTTACTTTGTCTGACACAGATGTGACGGTAACCCGACAGTAACTTTGTCTGACGAGATATTACGGTAACCCTCCAGTTACTTTGTCTGACACAGATATGACGGTAACCCACCAGTAACTTTGTTTGACGAGATATTACGTTAACCCTCCAGGAAAATTGATACAGATATTGCTAAGAAGGTTAACAGAGACTTTGAAACCCACGACAACCCTTTATATAGTCAATTTGGTACTAGCCATCTATTTGGAACAGCTATATATATTGAGGCGTATTCAAGTAGTAGATTTTAATTAGAACTTAAACGTGGAATGTTTATGTCACATTCACTCGTTACAACTAACTTTATATTCACGCTGAACGGAAAAGTAAACAACAACCTAACGTAACACAGTCTGAGTACACAAAGCCTTGTGAGGACAGAAAACGCCACGCTATTATTTTAAAAGCTTATTACAGATCAATTACTCTCAGTCATGTTTATGTGTGTGCTAAAATGTCTGACAGAGTCAGGGTCAGGTGGCCGGAGATCCAGTGTTTGATTGGAAGGATATTTTCATTTGTCCCGGCAGAGTTCCCCTAAGGACTTGACACACACACGCCGCCACCGTTATTCACGATAAAGTAAAGCAACTCTTACGTGATCGAGAGTCTGTCAAGCACCCTATCATTGAACAAACAAGGTCTAATTGAAGACGAGTGGTTTAAAACGTCACACACTTTAGAGGTATCGTCAATATAAATATACTCGGTGGTTTGCTCAACGTTTGACAGATCATTACCGGGTGCGAACTGCTCGGGGAAAGAACAATCGTGGCGTATTGGCGATGAAACCGATATCTGTATAAAAAGTGTTTGGCAATTTCGGATAGATCCGTGATCGGTTTTTGTGACAATTACAACAACATTGGTTTGAATTGATAATGACGACAGTCACGCACGGCCTGCATACCTGATCCAAACGTCCGTTTACCTGTCCATGATTTTGCGAATACATGTTGGAATTATACAGGAATGAAAAGTATATCAGAAATGGAATCTTAAAGCTGAACTGACACGCCTGAATTTTCTCATCTGCACGTAAAAAAAACCCGGATGTGTAATGCGGTTTTATGAATTTCGTGAGCAGATATTATTTATAAGTGTCTAGTCCGTATGTTTGTGTAGATATAATCACAGTCCATATCGGAGGATATTTATACGCAGCAGATCTAGACTGAGGTAAGATTTGTCTCCCTACCGGTAAACGATGTAATCCCAGGATTGGTGACTAGGTACTTAAAAAATACGGCGATTCACGAATAATACAAAGTTTGCTAGTGAAAGACTCGAATACAGTTTTACAATTCGGAGTTGTTGATACTGAAGGTGCTGAGCCCATTGATACTGGTGTTCTATTGATAGTGAAGGTTTGGGACGTTTCGCCACGGATTAAAAGGTATCCATGAGCATATTGATTGACATGCGAAGGTGAGGCTGAGCGATCAGGACAATTCCCGCGTCTACAATACAGTATACAAATCGCAGAGTTCGTTCAGGAGACATACGGCAAAGGAAATTAGTGATACATACACATGCAATAAGATTTCCATAACCTACTACATGTGTATAAAGAAGGATATTGAGATTTTGCTTCGACCTGCCTGAGCATTATGACTTTGTGGCAGACAAGGTTAATGTCTATATCGCTGATGTACCAACACGACACGACAGCCTTTCTGTGATTTACGTGCAGGGACTCGCTTTGTGAACATGTGCTACCTTTCATAAAAGACAGTATAGGACAGCTTCATGCCAAACGTGTTTGTATATTGAAGACCTCTACGTGGAAAGCACCTAACTCAAAATGTCTAAATTCATGTTTCATATCCGGTTTTCGGACCAGGGGCGTTTTTTGCATGAAAACGAAGTGTATGAAATGATGAGGTCTCGGAGTCTGTATCAAGTTCAGTTTGATTTGAAACATAAACTACGCAAACGATTAAGGTCGCTCGAACAGGCTGAAAAGATGCAAGTTTCGTCTTTTCAAAAACAAAGAAATGTTTTCTTGACAAAAATGCAAGAAAAGGTTGTTCAGCGAAATAAACTGGCCGAGGAAAATTCTACCCAGCTGATGATGAGTGGAGTCAAAAGACACATACAGGCGAAAGATAAACACGTGCGTATGGTGACGGACGAAAACAGTGTAACACCAAAACACGCCAAGAGTGCGCCTTCTCGAATATTAGCAAAGGAATCGCCAAGGAATAGACCGGTTACCAAGGAGGCCACAAGTGCGCGTCTGGTTTCCAAGGAAACAACGCTGTCGTCCGTTAAAGAAGTAACTCACGAGAGCGATGACATCAAACCAGTGAGCGCGAAGGTTGAACTGTCATACAGAGGAAGGTCACTTCCCGGATGTAAGAGTGGCTACCGGAGGTCAAGGACGATGTTTAGTGATGACGTCACATATATCAATACGTCATCCTTTGTGTCTAGAGAACAAGCAGAACACACGTCTTTAAACGATGAAGGAGAAACATCCTCGAAAACATTACTGTCTCGGCAAAATACTAAATCCCAAACTCCCAAATCGATAAGGAAGTCTTCGAGAGTAGGATTACCAAATATATTACCTGGACCGTCATCTCGAGGCGAGTCAACGTTTTTCGAACAAGAGGACAACATTTCCGAAATTTCGGACACTGCATTCCAAAGATTAGCTGGAAAATATAATAAGGCGAAATCGCTTACTTCATTGTCCATGCCAGTTCCAACTCCGGACCTGAAATCAGTGTCTTCTTACGAGATGGGAATGACCACTCCAGAGGGCCAGCTGATTCTGTCTAGGGACGAGTATGAGGATTATCTGGACAGGTTTAGGGAAGCGAAGTCAAAACGACTAAAACTGATACGGAGACAAAGTGAAAACCTGGATCAAAAAGTCAAACATTTTCGAGCTTTAAGGAAACAGTAATATCGAAATTTTGTAAGTTTTAAATACCTGATGTCTAACAGGGACATTTGTTATGGATGTGGGAAAATACAGTATTTATATGATATTTTGATAGAAATGTGTAAGACTCTTCTACATTAATTACCTGTATATATATAGCGCGCACATGTTTTCGCTTTATAATGTCACTCTTATATTCATTTAAGAAATTAAATATACTTATTTTATCACTTCATCAATTTATTTTTTAACATTTGTAATGGGTTCGTTGATACTGTTTTTCTATTCCATTATTTATTTATTTCAATTAGTTAATTATCAATTGAACATCTTTACTCTGAGGACGTTGATGTCATTGAAACAGTGGTACGTACGTAGGTACCTGATGGATTTATAGCCAATGTTCTCAACTGTTTGAGGATCTAGAACGAGTTAAACAGTCAAATGTCAACATATGTACAAACACGAGCGAATATGATAACACTTATTCGTATACAAACCGTGACTATCGATAAACAAATCCATTTAAATGTGTAATCTGTAGAAATTTTACCCGCTAAGAAGACAAACACAAAGTCAATGGCTGTACATATTTACTGTGTGAGAGATGTCAGTACTGGAATGTACATTTACTTAAAAATCAGCTGAACGAATTGACCTCGTTTTCTCGAAATAAAAGGAGATAGTTGCTATTTCGATGATCGACTAATTACAACAAATATGGATTTCTTTGGCTAACTTTTAAGGGAGCAATCCCGAAATTGAATGGAACGAAGGATTCCATAACATTAATTTGTATTTTTATATTTAAACAAATATTATCTAAATTTTATTTTGTTATACTTTTACAGTGAAATATAAGGTTTTGCAGTGGAATAACCTTAATATATATTTATTTGCTATGACAAAGAACACATGTTATTTTCACATTTGAATAACCAATCAGAGAGCAGGGTTCAGTGTAAAAATACAAAAAGAAAAATGGACATTGTCAATAGTTACGTAACAATAGCCCTGACGGTTTGTGGTTGTGATGTATCAGTTCAGTATTTATTGATTCATGTGTTCACTCGTGAAAAAGTAATCAAAATAGTCAGCCCACTCATGAGATACAATTGTTGTTTTATCAAGAAACTAATACTATTCTGTTTTATTACGCTTTCCTTTATATGGCCTTCCGTGATTGTTTTATGCGTTTGTTTGTGTTCTGTGTACGTGTATCAAAATGAGTCGGATTGTATTGGTCCTGTCTATTGCTTAGACAGTGATCGCCCACAACGTTACCTTTTAGAGCCAATTAATAAAATAATTTTAATTATATTTCATTTCTAGAGATAAAGAATATTTATACGCAGCACAGGGACTTGAGAAATCGTTACATTTGGTATGTTTAGACCAATCGGTATATGCCAACCCCCAATACAATTATTTGGGATGGTGTTTTTTTACCTTTAGTTTGTTCTAAACCCTATTAAAGGTCTGGCATTGCTCTCTACAAGTCAGGAAGGGTCCACAAATACCAACTGAACACACATTTTCAGGTCCCTGTGGTACGCGGGTGAGAACAGTCAGACGAGTGTATTTATGTGATTATTTACGCTCATATACTTTCCCGTTATAACAAATGTGTGTCTAGGCCATATCCCGGACCGTCCCGTATCTGCCCGATACGCGTCATATTTGCCCAACAAGCGCCATATTCGTTTTACTTTTGGTTCAACACATTTCAGAAGAATCACTCTTCAATTACACTCAATTTTTTTCTTCACCGAAAAAAATGTTGCGTGCTAAAACAGTTGCAATGTGTAGTATCTGATAAAAAGGTTATCATATGACTTTTTCTACATCCGATCCCGCATCAAACCTGGACCAATATCAGCCCTCGGCCTTCCTGCCCCTCGGGCTGATATGGAGGTCTCTGGTTAAAACGGGGTAGATATGGAGCTGGTCATAATATAAAACGTTTAAATGTTTATATAACTCTCGTTGATTAACTCTCAAATTGTAAACGACAGTCAGTAAACCTTCTGCCTTTATATAATTTGAAAATTAACTCAATCGAGGTAGTTAAACATGATAACCAACCATCACTTGTTCAGGAGTATAGGATATAGGATCTTAAATGAGTTTTCATTTCATACGAGATTTTATGAAACTCGTCTCGAAGCTCATATGAAATAAAAACAAAGTTAAGATACTATTTATCAAATAAACTCAGAAAACTTACATTTTGACAGGTTTTTAAAGCCAAAATGTAGAGTGTTTAATCAATTTTTGACGTCACGTCATTGTCCATATTATGACGTCACAATCGATTTCTGACTGGCACAGCCAATGAAAAACGCTCCAGGATATATTACACTTGTGACATAATTAAAAATATTACACGGGCAAATTCACTAGATAACAGGCCGATTATGTGATAAATACTTATATGTAGCGGAGGTGATGGTTATATCATAGTGATGACTACACGTGTTCAATAACCTAGATAACGACCGCGGGGTGTTTACACAGTGTTGCTCCATACAAGTTCTACAGCGGAGCAAAATCAAAGTCCATTTTATCAGCTAGTTTCCTGCTACCATTGATTATTTTATCCATGTCCGTTCTTCCTACTGTTTCGAAATAAAACCTTTGTGGTAAAACATAAAAACCGCATTAAAACCACGTCATCACATTGAAGGCACTCCTACCGTTGCAACACTAGGTACTGGCGAGCTACGATACGTTATCGAACACACAGAACATGAGCTTCAATGTGGAGCTGGCAATGAGAGAGTAAACAAATGGAAACCTCATTCGTGCGGATCGATCGGTTAATAAGTGCTAATTTACCTAAATATCAATAAGTCTAAATAGGAAAGCAATGATATGGAATCCTTTGTTATGTCGCTGTATCGTCTGAGGTATTACACTGTATTTACTTACTGCATTATAAACCTGTATTGTGAGGTTGTTCGTGGCTCTGTATGCATTACGTGTTTTGGATACGGCTAGTTTATTACATGTACAATATATGAAGCACGGGTTCAATAATTTCGCCCAAGCTCTTTGACACGTCGTGTAGCAACCTGTCAATACGATACAGGTAATAAAAAATGCTGCCTTACAAAAATATAGATGATCAAATATAACATTATTGATTAATTATTATTCTTAAATACAAAGTATTGGTGCTACTTCTTTTCGACGTCAATCTGGAGAATTGAATTGAGATCCATTTCATATGTACGTTCAATCCAGGTCCACATTTCTTATATATAGTTATGAAAGATTATATGATCAGAATTATGAATTTATAGTATTCGAATTATCATTTAATATTGGTATGGTCACACTATCGTGTATTTTATAAAGAGAATGCCGCAACTAATATATATGGATTCAGCAAACGGTGTATAATATTTGTTGCAATTGGTAGTTTGGATTTTATGCGTCAGCTGGTTTCGTGATGATGGTCGTCGTCCAAGGAAGATAATGCATGCTCTCGAGCTGTTTTTAATTTACCATAACATGCAATAGTTTTACAAATATATGGTATCCTTGCGTGAGCAATACGTCATAACTCCTATAGAATGTTGCCTAAAATTCTACTGGTCCGTAAGTCAGTAATATTCCGTCTTTGCGTATTGCAGAGTTATCTTCTCTTGGGAACAGGTATTGATTGTTACGTCATTGATTTGTGCGAGAAAATTACGTTGTTTTCTCAAAAATTGATGACGTTACTCTCACAGACAAGTGACGTAACAATCAATACCTGCTGCAAAGAGAAGATAACTCTGCAATACGCAAAGACGGAATAGGAGACCTTTGGCTCCTGGGAGCAAAAGCTAAATGGGTGCCTGTTACTGTTGGGTTGACTTCTAGTAGGGAAAATATATGGCAGACCAAGGTGTCGGGTACAAGCAAAAGTAGAAGCTGAATGGAGGCCTGTTGCTGACGGGTCGAACGATGTGCAGGTACAAACTTTGTCTGGGAAATCAGTGAGTTCTAGGAAAAGCTTGATGACAACCAAGGATGAGTGATGACACATGATAGACAAATGACATCCAGGAACAGACTGTTATCTGGGTACTACTGCATGGCTAGCAGTCCAACGCAAGATCTTCACAAGAGAACACTGTTTATCTAGCTACAACAGAACCAGAAGAGGACATCCACAGACGTCCAAGAAGGGGAGGATGACAGCCTCACACCGACAGACTTAACGGAAACGACACGGACACCGATGCAGACACGTTTGGTACACTCAACGCTGCATCAGCAGAACTATAGGTTCAGCACGGCAAAGGTGTGTTAGAACATTCTGTGGCTTGGGGATCCGTCAAGCAAGGGGCGAAGTACTGACTTGTGAAGCTACAGAGGCAGTGCTGATATGTTGTTTCTGATAAGCATCAAGCCAGGAGGCCTTTCCTTCTCCACTTCGGTTTCGTCATAAAACAAAATGAGTGATACAAACCACGACCAGGGTATTCAAGCACAGCAAGCACGGAGGGGAGGATAAAGGTGGCCAAAGTCGAACTACAAAGAAGCTTGTTGAAGTTTGGACGGCGAGTTAGATATCATTTTACAGGAGGCTCTACTGGAAAGCGTGTGGAGCATATCGGTGTATTAAGCCCAGTACATTAGAGAGGCCATGTCCAGCCAAAATAACATGGCAGTAGTTTGGCTAAACCTGTCAAACGGATTGAAGTAACCCTACAACACCACTTTGTTCCAAACCATATACAGGAAAAGCACGAAGCTACTTCAGCGGAATCAAGTTACATTTTATTGTTGTGGAGGCTGCAACGTAATAACAAAACCTGGATAAAGGAACAGTGACGGTATGTACTACATGTATATTCGACAGTCTAGACGTTATGGAGAAGAACCTTTCCATCAAGGCGGCAGGACGCGCTAGCAGAGGGCCAAGGACGGAATCAAGGATCCGCCAACCATCGAATTCAGGTTTTATGGATGACCTGACTGCCATTACCAACGCGCATGTCAAAACAAGATGAGTTTTGTCTGCATTAGAGGAGGCGGGAGGAGGAAGTTCAAGGCAAAGAAATATAGGTGTATGATATGATAGACGGCAACGTACTCCACAGTTAAAGCTAAAGGTAAAAGGATAAATTGTGGACAACCAAATCAAGTGCCAAGGAAACCGGTTTGATGAATCACTGAAAGGTACTAGTGGCTTTAACACTGAGGTTATATTCCTTTGACAACAGTGGAAGGACTAATCCTTTAGCAGCTACCTCCGGAGGTGGCTAGGGGTGCTGCCAAATGTATCAAGCTTTGAGCTCTATAGCAGGACATCATCACAAAAACTCCATATGTCAATGACGGAAGAGGAGTTAAAAGCAAGATTGTTGATGACGCTGCCAAATGTAAAACACATAAATCAAACTTGGTATGGAAGGAAATGGTCTGCATCGTAGTCTTCGAAGCAGGCCAATGCAGCTCGAAAAAACTGGGACATCGTCGGAGCGACCTGCTCACGACGGTAAGGATTGGGGGCAACGCAGCTCCATATGTGGGAAGGAACAGACGACAAGGAAAATGTCGATGGTAAGGAGGGAAACTCGTAAAGAAGTAGAAGTAACGAGGAGAGCAAGGACAGCGGAAATCGGTTCACAAAGGGCAAGAACCAGAAGAAGCTGTCGAAGCAGAAACTTTCGTGTACAAACATGTGGCGCTATACACCGTTGAGGAACATGTCCTCGTTGCAGGTAGTATGTGACACGTTACCATCGCACTTGAACCTGCATCACTGGGGATTATTTAAGGAAGGAAAGTGCCGCCAAGAACTTTGGGCCATGAGTCGTATTGTAGGGCCATGAGTTGTATAGTTTCAACATGCAAGACAGCTCTGACATATAGGGACGATACCGATGGCGGCGTAACAAGATGCTGATGGAATTGGTAGATGTCCTCGAAGTGGAAAGGAATGAGAGGGGAGCACAAACAATCTTTCACACAGTTTTTATATACGGGGGGAAAGAAGAGCAGAGAAACACCGGTCAAAACAGGCATTAGCAAAGGGGAAGAGACCGTGAGATGAACGTAGACTTGGCTAAGATTATGAGGTTTTCGGATGTGGTGTAGACAACACTGTGCCCTGATGTAGTAATATGGTCTGTCGACTCCAGAAAGATTATAGTCATAGCGTTTGCTATGCCCTGTGAGGAGCGATGCGACCGGGTTACCGAAAGGAAGGGGAGCAAAGTATACAGATTTCATGGAACGGTGTAGTGATCAAGAACGACACACTTTGCTTTTTCTGCAAAGGTTTGATGTAGAGATCTAGAGTCCCCGGCACGTTCAGTCTAGAAGAGACTGTGGCACGTGCATCATTCTTGCTTTTAGAGTGGATGGGAGGAGAGAGCCACCCCCTGACGAGCAGTGATTGATCACAAGGACAGGGGCTGAAACTGATGGAGACTGATTAGCCCGGTAGATGATGCCAATGGATTGACTGTACTCTACGTATATACCGACATTTGAGATAAGACTCATGTGCGAAGTTTTTATATCCCTAATATAAGTACGTACTCTCTGTAAACTTACTTCATAACTCATTACTATTGTCCATCACATTACGCAACAGGATTAGTGTAATAGTCTTTACCTTGTGGACACTGACCACGGGTAATTGATCTAACAATTAGCGACACATGTGTCACTTAAACCTCAGATACCTTTATTGTACCTACATGTATTTAACTGTGATATGTTGTATTGTAAATCAGTTAGGTTCTAGACTCTGTACGGAACACTTCGGGTATAGTTTGGACACTCCAGAATATCCGACCGTCAAGTCAAAAGTTAAACTTTTATCAACTCTTACGTCATCATTTCAACAAGACAAAACGTGCCGAAAAACATTATGTTAGGTACACATGGTTACCAATACATGGCCAACCAGAATGACTTAGACAATCTCATATAAAGATAGAATAAATCAGTACACTCATCATTCAAACTCATTTATTCGTTTTATTTCTGATAACCATTCATTTAATAATTGAAACTGGATTTCGTCTGATTTGAAGTAATATTTCAACTCCTAAAAATGTAACAAGTCTTTTTTCTGAATAAATGTTTAAAAAAAAATGCAGAACGTCTTTGAAACCGGCAAAAATCAATTTCAAAAAGTGCCAAAATCATATTTATAAATGTAGTTTTTACAATAAGAGCGTTAAATGCACAAAGTATATAGAGGGGCACAGGACCTTACCTTATTGAATAAGTACATTATTTGTCTCTAAAATCAATTATATTTTAAATAAATATTATTTTGAAAAGAACTGGTCACAAAAGGTTGTAAACAACTAAGTGAAAAGAAATTTTAAAAATGCTCCCAAATAGTAGGGGGGATTGGGGGGTTGGGGTTGGG